GCTCTCTGTGCACCAAGTGTCTCCATCCTGGTGCAAGAAATGAGAGCTGCAGGGATGCTCTGGCTCAGGTCCTAAGAGGATCTGCAGCTCTGCCAACCTCTGGACACGCTGCTTGGGAGGGGAGAACGCACCGGCACCTTCCTCTCGTTTCCCTCTGCTAAGAAATCGGGAGTCACGCAAAGCAAACGCAGGCATTTTGGGCAGTGGTGGGATGGAGAGATGGACAAGAAGTGGGAGGGGTAGAGAAATATCCCCCTTGGAGGCCCTTGTCCCACCCCACTGCTCTCAGGAGGGATGGCCTCATTTAGCACTTACTTCTTGGCATCACAACTCCTCTGCTCCCTTCCCTCTGCAAATAGCATCTTTTCCCCGGTTTTCTCCCCGCCCCTAGCCTCTACACGGTCAGAAAAGATCTTCCTTCCACCTTCAGCCTCCTGAACCACGCTCCATCCCCTGCAGATGTTGTAATCACAGCCACTTGATCACCGTTAGTCCAGATCCCATGAGGTCTGGATGGTAAAGACGCAACATGCCTTCTGTTAGGCTGGCAGCCCTGCAGTAGCATGATGTTTCTTCCATGCTGTGCACAGGGAAAAAAAAAGATCTCGCAGGTTTAGGAGTACCCCACTTGACCCTTCTTGTACCTGGTCTATCCAGGTGCATGGAGCTCTTGGGTATCTGCTCAGCCCCTCCAAAAATTTCTGGCCTTCACATTAACCCTCCTAACCTTGGACATTTAGGGACAAACCCTGGAGGTGGGGGAGTGAGTCTGGGCTTGGTTTGACCAAGCCCTAGCAAGGCAGAAGAGCCCTTAGCATCTCGTTGCAGAGGTGGAATAGCACCTTACCCCTCTGCAGCTGGCATTTGCAGAATGTGGCCCCAGCAGGTTGCTTTAGGTCCCAGATGGCAGTCCTGGGATTGAAACGTGATCTTTTGGGTCCCAAACAAGGGCCGTCATCTCATCCTCACGAGACCTGGGCTTTAGTCTGCTCTCAGACACACGTGCGTCTATGCCTTTCTTTTCTGTCTCTGTGTAGTAATGTTTCAACCTCACAGAGGTGTCGTGAAGTTTAATTAGCTCCAGGCAAAGCCCTCTGAGATCCTCAGATAAGAGATGCTATAGAAGCGCAAAGTATTAATTTAACATTATTAAAATAATTGGTTAGTGGATGGTGAACAGAGGGTTAGCGTTAGCGGTATTTATTCTTAATGGGAGATGAGGAGGAAATAACATTCCTCATGGTTCAGCGGTAGGACCAGTTTCTTAGTGTTTGTACTAATGGTTTGGACAGAAGCAGGACACTTGCAATTGTTAAAGATGCAGCCGATAATGAAATAGCAGGCGTTATTAAGATGTACAGAGAAGTGCCGTGTCTACACCATAATCTTATGCAAATAAGTTCAGGAGTGGAATACGCTCTTTAAGGTGTCTTAAGTGTAATGTGATGCCACTGGGTGGGAGTTACGCACCAGCTAATTATAGCATGAATAGCATTGAATTAGGTTATATGGCAGTGGAAAGTGATCTCGGCATATTGACAGACCCAGCATGTTAGAGTTACTGGTATTTTATTAAAGCAAAACAGTTATTGGCAGTACAAGGCATTTTTTCTGCATAAGCTGTAATAGACACACCAGATGAGAGCGCAGCAGAGTCACAGCAATCTCCCAGGGCCCAAGTACACGCTGACTCTCAGCAGAGACAACAGAAGTGATTAGTTGGGGTTGGGATATTTCATTATCCCTTTCACAGTCCAGCTGCTCTGTGCAGGCAGCTGCCTTCCAGGTGACCACTTCTCTAAGGCAGGCATTTGTGTCTGGAAGTACTTATTTATTAAGAGTCCCATTTGCCTATATTTAAAATTTGCTGAACTTACTTTCTGGGCTGCGATGTCCCCTCTGAGCAGCTGCCTTCAGCGGCTGGGTGCTTTGCCACAGTCGTTTTTCCGTTTCAGCCAACACCATTCAGGGATTTGGGACTGACACTGGAGGGCAATGCTTTGCTCTGCACATGCTGAAACAATTTTCTCTGCTGTTTCCCCCCACTCCTGGGGGAGGGCAGAACATTTTTGGCAGTGCAGAGGAAGACTGGAGGGAGAAGGTTACTTTATGACTGGTATGTTGCTTTGTCTGCTCCCCTGAGAATCCATCACATTTTGCCTCTGAAGAACTTGCTGGGCAGCTACCTGGGAGAGCGTGGTGTGTAAACCCACAGGATGCTCCACGTGCTCCAGCTCAGGACAGATAAGGTGGTCAAGGAAGAGGAGGTGGAGGAAACCATGGGCAAAAGGCTCTGAAGAAGAGCCCCCATCACTCCCTTCTGCATGGACAAACCTGCAAAACCCACTGGCAGGCGGCTCCATCCCTTTAGTCTTGATTTATGCAGCAGCTGGCATCAGTTACCTGGGATGAATTCTGCTGCTAGCTCAAGGAAGGGGTCTGTGATGTTGACTCGAGAGCCTGAACCTTGCTGGTGACCCAGAGCCCGGCCCACTTTGGTTCAGCTTGGCAGAGCTCCCCCATCATCAGACTCAAGCACCAGGCACAGTTGGGTGTTTTGCGTTTTTTTCTCGCCTTTGTTTTAAATTGAGAAGTTACATTGAAAAAGTCAGACAGGCAAAGTCAAAAGTTAGGAAGTGGCAGAATTAATTAAAGTCTGTAATTAAAGTCTGGCTTGCAGTGCGTCAGTCCAGGGAGCAGATTTAGGAGTGCAGAAGCTACTTTCAATCTGCCAGTGCCTAATTCCTGAGAGCCTGACATTGCAACATTAGCATTATATTAAAACCAGGCTTAGTTTGGTTTGGTTCTTCATCAAGTCATTATTTGGATGGCAACACACCTTACAACAGATATCAAGTCTGCAAGACACATCAGTCTAATATAGAGTGAGGTTTTGGTCTGAAGAGTTACATGTCTTAAATGTGTATGACCCGTAAACAGCAAGATAAGATGCTGATTATTATATTCCTGCTCAGTGGTGGGGCTGGGAATACAAACCACATTTCTAGATGCTTAACCTATACCCATGTGTTGGCCTCCTGTACAAATGTGCTGGGTGTGTTTGCAACCTACTGTGCTATTACACTTGAACTGAGCCTGGGTATTTGCCCATTTAATTTTAGAAAATCCAGACATTGCTGTCATGCTGCAGCTGGAGGAAATAAATGGGAGGTAGCAGGACATCTTGAAGAATTCGGGCACTTGGGTTTTGACATCAAGCCCAAAAGGGTTTCCTTCCAAGCTATTCTCAGGAGAGGAGTTCCCACGCCCTGCAGAGCTGTGATGGAATTGCTCTGTCTATTTGTTTTATAGAAGTGCTTACAAAAATCTCAGATCAGCATTTTGCCGTGGCTTTCGTTCCGCGATAGGGGACTTTACAGTTTTGGAGTAGTTAATCGGCTATCCGTCCAACCCTCTGGAGACTGCACGTTTAAAATTCCTGATCCAGCATGCGGCAGCGCTAAAGGAGACTTAATGGGGTGAAGGCTCCTAGGGAACAGAGAGTGGGAGCTGCAATGCTGCTCTTGCTCTCTCAAATCTGCAAGGCAAACCAAGAGCATGCTGAGAATGGCAGCGATCTCCCTTTATGATTCTTGCCACTGGGAATGCGAAACTTTTCTCTACCAGAAAAATGGAGCAATTTGAGTTTGAAATCGGGGTGTTCATTTTATCTAGCGTCAGCCACTAGAGAGAAGCCAAGCCTAAAGTTTTAGGCCAGCCCCCAAGCCTCGTAACATTCAGGCTCAGCCATATATTGGGTTGCTTTTCCATGTGTTGCCATAGATCCCCCTCTGCAAAACCCTATGCATATAGGCTCCCTCTGCTCCAGGGAGCAAGGACATTGAGGGGTGATCATGGAGCTAACCCTCCAGCAGCCCCTGTGTGCTCTCACAACTAAGACTCTGAAGTCTGGGAGTGGGTGAATAATTTAACATCCACACTTAGTCTTTATAGCTGATTTTAATGGGGGGTAATAGCACTGCTAATAACGAAATCCATTGAAGACACCCTGTGCAAGTCCATAACATTAGCTTAATGGCAAAAGGTAATTGGCATGCAGTTGAAGCTGTCCTTTTGTATTAACCCTGTGGATTTCTAGGCAGACATCTTCCTTGAAGCAATGGCCTTGGCAGCGCACATGGAGTAAAATACAGATGTGCTTTATGCTGAGCAAATGCAAATCGGGATTCAAACAGGGTGCACCGCTACCAATTCACATTGCTGGCTTGTGTTTACACCAGACAGATAAGATGAAAGACAGTGACAGTGCTGAAAGCACTGACCACAATTAGTGAGTGGCATGAACATCCTGGGCTTGTGCAGCCCAGGTACCATGCACCCACCACTTTCACTGAACTGTCACTAATTGGGAACACCAGAATTTTTAAGGTTCAACCCTGGGCACTTCTAGTCAGGCACTTTCAAACCAGATGCCAAAAAATCCTTCATCTGCCAGGGATTACTTAGCACCTGCTGAGCAATGGATTGGAGGGTTGCCCCGTCCCAGCAGAGAGGCACCAGCAGCCCAGAAGTACCACAGATTTGCAGTCCTCTCAGCAGGGCCAAAGAGCACGGGCTATGCACAGCTACTCTAAAAGGACATCCCTGCCTAAAATGTCCCACTGCCCTTGGATAGGATGGTTTTCAGGGCTGTGGGTTTGCCCGGGGGAAGGTTACGCTGTATCTGCTATGTGGGTAGAGAGACAGAGCATCTCTACAGCTGTGCATTCTACCCAAGGGATGGGGCTTTCACCCATCACCCTTCCACCTTTCGTGGTGTCCTTGCAACTCTCCAGCCTGCTGAGTGATCCCATGGCTGCTAACACCGGAGTCGGAGTGCTCCAGGGCGTGAGTGTGATTTTTCTGGCTAGTGCAGTCCCAAAGGGTGCAGTGTTGACTTTCCATCCAAAATGATTGCTCCTCCCATGTCCCAAGGTTGTCCTCATCTTCCCAGCCTGGCTCTGTGTTAACTCTGTCCCTCTCTGTTCCTGTTTGCTCAGGTGCACAAGGAAGGAGCGGTGTGAGCGCTCCAGCGAGCCTCGGAGATTCGCCTCAGAGATGAAGCAGTGTGTCCGGCTTACCGTGCATCCCAACAACATCTCCGTCTCCCAGTACAACGTATTGGTGAGGAACGTTAATCCTTGCCCCCCCTCAGGTTTAACCTGCCCATGCAGTCTGACAGACCCAGGTATGTGCAACCTGGGTTCAGCATGAGTGGGAAGGACTGGCAGCTTGATGCAAGAGGTTCTCCAGAGTCCATTAACTTCCCCAGCAACTTTCCTGGCAGAGAGAAAGATTTGCCATGGAAGAACATTTTGGCCTTGTTTATCCCCTGTCTAGAAGTGTGGAAAGAGGCTTCCTTGTTTGCTGTGAGTAGCTGAGGGCAGGTCTGAAGGGGCTCTGTGCCCTGCAGTTCTTGTGTGCACCCAACGTAGCTGTTTACTTCCCTGTGAGAGGGATTTGTTTATGGCTGGGCATGGACTTTAGGCAAGGGACATCATCATGATTAGAAATTACCTTCTAGAAGGAGGGCAAGTGAGGGATACCGCGCGTTATTTCAGTAAGCTCCAAGTTCCCATCTTCTTGGGTGGAAATGTTTCCTTCTTAAGCCACCAAGAACTCCACTCTACTCCAGCTCCAGCACCAAGTATGCAGAGCAGAGAGGCAGGATGCTACGCAGAGGAACGTAAGGCTGCCGAGGTTCATGCTATCTCTTGTGACCTTCCTCAGCACAAGGTTTAATCTTTACGGCCTTGAGCTATTCAAGCCAACAAAGCCACACAGTGAATGCTGGCAGAGAAGTAGATGATCCTGAGGCAGGGCTTGGGGCAAGAAATCTCTGCTGAAGATCTAACCAGCTTGTGGTTTCTCTCCTGACTCATGACAGCAATACCTTATGTGGTGAGATCCCAACACGCTCCGAAAAGGAGGCAGAGACCCATTTCATTCAGGCTACTAGGGCTCTGTCTTTTTGGCCATACTAGTTTGGGCTGGAAATAAGTTGATAACCCAGACCCCAAAGCTCCATCTCTGGACGAGTTGGTCACTAGCCCCACAACCCGAAAGGTCTAAATGGAATTGCTCAAGGTGCAGCTGCCAGATGTCTTCCAGGTGACAGGTTTTGGAGTGGTAGGGTTTCTTCAGTGGTAATGAAATAAGCCTTTCAAAGCCTGCATGTCCAATCATTGCTGCTTTGTTTCAGCCTCTTAACTTTGCTGTGACTTTACTTTCCTAGGCTTCAAACAAAACTGATCTGAGACATCTTAAGTCCTTTGTTCTTCTGGGAGTTAAAGGTTTCTTTTTCTTATTCTCTCAGTAGTCGTTGAATTCTTTCATGTTGGAATAAATCCTGGGGGACTAGCTGGCTCAGGGCGATTGAAAATGATAACAGAATAAAAGACCTTTACCTCTAGGTTACTCCCAGGGCAAGTCAACCCAGAGCTGCTGGGATCAGAAGTTGTCATCATCCGACTGTTGCCCAATAATCTGCATGAACATTTTGATGGGAGTCTCAGCCCAGTCCCAGATAGACTGGTGACCCAGCTCCTGCACAGTCACCACAGATAGTCTCTTGGAAAATCAGGAGGGGAGCACCAACGAACGAATGACTGGCAGCGTCCTTACTGAGTCTCACCTGGGTTCTAGCAAAGGGTCAATGATATTGAGTTCTTGCCCACAGAGGCAGAGAAGATATCTGTGTGACCAGCCAGTCTTTTAAATTTTGCACACTAACAGGGACTTGGAAAATTGTATCTGAGTCTGTTTCAATCCAGGGCTGCTGCTGTGGGGCTCCGTTCTTTCCTCATTGCAGCAACTCCAGAGCAGGCATGTGGGCTGTAGGATTTCTGGTCTGTTCAGAGTGTGCACTGGCTCATGACATTTATGACACTATCCATTGGTGTCATCTTCTGCATGGCACACCTTCATTCTGCATCATCCATGCTCAGAGAGAGGTTTGTTAAGCAGAATAGTTTCCCCTTCTCCATTGCTAGCAAGGTATTAGTGAGCAGGGAGACTGGATTTAGCCTGAGTACTAAATTCATCCAAATAACCAAAGCTTTTTCCTACTCCCCATCCAAGACAAAAAAAAAAAAAAATCACCTTTCCCATTGCCATTCCCCTTGCCCAAAAATGAACATACTCTCACAAAGGCTTTATGTCAGCCAAGACTAAGGCCTGTCTGCTCAGCCTTTCTCCCTGATGGTGCCTAGTGTGAAGGAATAGCTCCAAGCCTTCTCTAAGTGGGGAAAATAAAGTGTGGGGGAGCAATAAGCCTTATGTTACGTTATCATCCTCTCCTGTTTTGTCACCTGGACTGACCTCCTCTGTTCTTTCTGCTGGTAGAAACAACACTTCAGCATGCATTTGTGTCTCCTTTCAGTGGCTGTCACCTCAGATGGGGCCTCAGCTAGCTCATGGAGGAGGCAAGTGTGGAGAGCATCTGCATTTGTGCCTGTGTCAGGGGGTTGGCTCTAGCGTTTGGTCACAAAAAATCCTAAATTTGTACTAACTGCTAAGTCATCAGCAGGTGCTAGAAGTACCCTGGCATGCCTCTCTGTGTTCAGACATGATCTGGTGGGTTGGGCAGGACCCTCAGTGATGGAGAGCTGTGGTGCAGGACCTTAACTGGTCTGGGAAGTTAACAGCAGGAGGGTCCTTCTCCAGAGAATGAACGTGGTGGAAACCAGCCATAAGATTCCTTTTTCTCATGACCATGAGCAATGACATAGCAATGCCAACGGGTGTTACGAACTCTAAAAACATGGGCAATTCTACCTTCACAGGTTTTTTTATGTATGGAGCCCCAGTATAGCATGTCCCCAGAGCCAACTGCTTCTTTGGTGGGATGGGCAGGAGAGGTTTGCTGTGCCTCTAGAGACAGCGTTTTTTTGTGGCGGACTGAAGGCTGTAACTAGACTCTCCTTACACAGGAACTTGGTGACAGAGTGCTCCCCCATCTGCTGATGCTAGGAGAGCAGGCCGTAGAGAGTTAGACTGGAGCGCTACAGTTTCTCTGTAGTCTGCAGAGTGCCTCTTGTGAGTAGTAGTCACCTTCCTCAGAAACCGCGTGCCTTGGGGCCACCAAAGCCCTGGTCTTCACGGCTGGCTCCAAAGACTCCCTGCCTAACCTTACACTTGCATGACAGATAGCGAGCACTCCCTCCCCTCCACTGACCCAGCCAGCACTGGGGTGCAGTGCCGTCGTCCCCCCATAGCCACGTACCACTTGTGTCGGCATCAGCATCTCATCCCCTTCCCCCTCCGCGCACACATCCCTCTCCTGAATCGCTGCTTTCTGTTGAAGGAGGATGCTCTCTCTAGCAAGAGGCTCTTTGTCCAACCTCTCCAGTGTAATTCTCTCCTGCTGTCCCAGCTCTGGTTTTTGGCTTAGTATTCTCTCTTTTCTTTTTTTTCTATCTCTTCTTCTCTCCCTCCGTCTTTGCTTGCAGCTGGTCTTGGAGACCTACAATGTCCCTGAGCTGTCAGCAGGAGTCAATTGCACCTTTGAGGACCTTTCGGAGATGGATGGCTTGGTGGTGGGCAGTCAGATCCAATGCATCTCGCCAGCTGCCAAAGAAGTGCCCCAGATCATCACCGAGAACGGTGGGTATCCCACAGCTCCACTTCTCCCTCCCTTCCTCACCCCACAGCCCTGTGTCTCTCCTTCTACTTTCTCCCAAAGCAGAGCTTGTGGGAGCCTGAGGACAGGGGGTGCAAAGCACAGGGAGCGGGTGGGACGCTGTGCCGGTGCTTGGGGCTGGAGCTGCGCAGCAGCACTTTGTAACGGGAGCTGTCTGAATGTGTCTGTTTATGTGTGCACACGTGTGCAAGTATTGAGTTGCAATACCAGTAAATGCATTAAGATGCTTATATGTGTGATACTGTGTGTTTTCAGACTGCCACCGAGTGGCAGTTGCATACATCTAGCGAAGGCAAGAGATGGATGTGGGATATTTGTGCACCTTTTGCCCAGGCTGGTGTTGTACAACCCAGGGAATGAGGGTGTACATGCTCTCAACACATCGCATCCCATGCAGCAGCCAGAAAGTCCTGCAGGCATGAATGATCCTGCCTGTAATTTTATCCTGCTCCTCCCAGATTTAGATCTCTATGCTTAGTTCCTTGCTCTGTCCCCAGCCTTTACTCCTTTCAGCTGTTCCAGGTTTGCTACTGGCTCCCTCTCCCAAAGTGGTCCAGGACAGAAAAATACCTTGTCTCCAAGGATGGTCCCCCCACCTACAACTCCCTGCCCTTTTTTGTTTCCTTTTCTAACAACGTTTCTAGGTACTTTCAAGAGCACCTGTGGCTCTTTGCAGGGACTTACTATAAAAACCTTGACCCTGTTGGTCACCCCAAGAGATGCAGAGAGGGTGCTGCCATTTTCATCCTTAGCTTCTTGTGAAATGTACTGTAAAGTTTGTCTCTAAGGATCCTCAGGCCACAGAAAATGAAGTGACATGAACTGTCACCATCATCTCTGCTCTCCCCAAGCTGCACACAGCTGCCGGTGCTCTCCATTGTGGTCCCAAAACAAGCTCCCAGAGGGCTGTTACCATTTTCAGGTCCCACTGAGTTATCAGTCGTGTTTGCCTACCAAGACAGATGCCAGAAACTATTTCCTTGGTATGGACATCTATCCCAGGCCAGGCTATAATCAACCAGCAAACAAAAATAGCAGTGGAAGCTGGAGGCAGGACAAGAGAGAGATTTTTTGTGAAGCATGGTTTTCAGAGAAGCCGGGCACCTGCGGCTTGTATCAACTTCAGCAGCTGGTGCTCCGCAACTCTGCAAAGACCAAGAGTCCTCCATGCGTAGTGCCAGAAGCTGGGTTTGAACCAAAGGATGTGCAGCTCTGTAGCACATCTGATCCCTGGGGCTACCCAATTCTCACATCCCATTTTAAAATATATGCAAGACGCTGGCAAAGTTGTTAAATACGAAGCGGTTAACAGAGTTGTCAAAGCCGGCGGCAGCAGATGGGCAGCAGAGTCGAACACTGGCAGCAAAATGTGTTTAGTGAAGTGTGTGGTCTGTGCGCGCGTCTGTGCGCGTGTGTGCTCGTAGGTGGGTGAGCGTGCACACGGGCGCACGCTGCGACGAATTGTCAAGTTTACTTTGGCCTGATTAATGAATCTTTCAGGTGAGGAGGAAAATAATAGAGGTGAAAGGGCCAGCCAGGTTGAGGTCTTGAATTAAACATGGGTCCCTTCCCCACCAAATTACTGCAATTATTGCGCCCGCTCATTACCCACAGCTGATGGGCTCTGAATAGGGCTTTTGGCATTGTGGGAAGAAGTGACAGTTCCAGCACAGGAGCCATGGGAATGGGAATGAGGAGATGGTGTGTAGGAGCTGAGGTGCGGGCTTTGCTGCAGATGGGTCTGCTGTGGAAATGGATGGGTCCTTCTGGAAGTTCAATGGCTCGTGGATGTCTCTCACACGGAGATGGGGTCTTTGTAGCCTAAGGCTGGGGTGAATGGACCTTGGGGTGAACGGGGTGAGTGAATCTGGAAGAACTGTTCATGTGGGAATCTTCCTGTCCATCAGTATTTCCCAGGCTGCAGATAGGGAGCCCCTACCCTATCCTCACTATTATGGTATCTATCGTCCTTGCTCATTCCTTCACCCTGCTTTCTCAAGGTATAATCTCTCTTTGGGCGCAGGATCGGGAGGTGGCCTTTTTCAGGCATGGTTGTCCTGGGTATTGGGCCATATTCAGAGATGTTAAATAATGAGGGTGAGGAGAATGTAGATCTTTCTTTATCCCCTTAGGAAAGCCAGTACATTTATCCTTCAGGCAGTGTATGCACAGGCCACCAATGTCTGGGGCCAGCAGTGAAATGTTCCACAGGCTCCTTCCTTCTGGGGACATCAAATGAACCAACAGCAAGGAAGAACTTTAAGGACAGTACTCAAATTTAACGGCCTCCTAATTCCAGACATCTGCATCCTTTCTTTGAGCTTAGCTTTCCTACCTGATGACTTCAGTCAGAATATTTTTGAAATTGGTGAGGTATGGTCTAGGCCTGTTGTCATCATACAGCCCAGACTCTGCTCCCAGGTATGCTAATTTCCAGTGGTGAAGACACACTCCATCACCCCAGTACCGTAAGAGAGAGAGATGTACTCAGAGAACTGGACTCTAGAAGGATTTTATTGCATTTTCTACATCTATTGAGGATAGACTAGCCAAGGTACTGTGGCACAGCTCCAGGTTCAGACTGGTGGCATGACCAACAGGGCTTAACTACACTAACAAAGCAGTCTCACACTGATGTGTCTTTTTTTTTCCCCAGGAGACCACCACATTGTCCAGCTTCAGCTCAAGTCCAAGGAAACGGGTATGACCTTTGCCAGCACCAGCTTCGTCTTCTACAACTGCAGCGTCCACAACTCGTATGTTCATTTCTTTTGATACCTGCTTTCCATTCTACCCCTGGATCTGCCACAGAATCCACTGCTGACTGGGGCTTGTGTCCCTCAGGAAGCTGGTTAGGTGTGGAGGTGACCAGGGGCCAGGGTCACTTGTGTGATAGTCAGCACGGTGGCGTCCCTCCTGAGAAGGCCAAGAGTAGCGTAGTGACCATTTGCTCTGTTGATGAGCCTCCTTTGCAGGAAGGCGTTGTCTTGAGGAGTCATCATTGTCATCTTCATGTGTCCCTCGGGCAGAGGAGCACCACATTAGCGGGAGTTTGCCACAGAATTGAGTCAAAAGTGAGTCACAACCTCAGCAAATGGCCCCCTCATCTGCCTATTAAGCAGTTTTTTGTGGATGGCTGGATGCTGCTCGTACATACCCACCTCCAGCCCTCATCCATGCTGTCAGTCCCATCAGTAGGAGCCTGCCCCAAGTGGTTAGCATGAGCTTGGACCTTCAGATCTGGAAAGACGGGAGTTTCTGGTTCCTGCATGTTGTGAACTGAGCGGGGAACACCCAGCTGATTCCCTCAAGACCATTTTTTCCACCCTGCCAGCTTCTTTCCTGCCCTGCACCCCATTCTTCTGGGGTTTAGCTGGCACCCAGGGCTGCTCAGGAGCTGCCCCACCGGAGCAGGTCTGCCGCTTTCCTGCAGAAAGATGCTCTTCCAGTAGGTTGATCCACCCCTGAGCAAGGCTGAGCGGCTCTGTCCCCACCACTGAGCCAGCAGAAGTGCCAAAAGCAGATAATTACTGTGGCTCAGCAATTCACAAGGAAACACAAATCCTGTTTCCGTGTTCCTGCTGCTTTGACAAACGGTGTCAGAAAGCAAGTGTTGGGGGGGAGAGCAGAAGAGATGGTGGTGTTAAATATTTATGGCATGTTTTGGTTTCTTACTTGACAAAGTATAATACACTATCCATTTTTAATTTGATGTATCAGAGCAAGCACTTGTTACCAATTTGAAGAATAGCTCGCTGTACCAGAGCTGAAAGTGGATTGGAGTTGAGCGAGATTTCACAGAGACAGGGGAGAGGGTGTGCGCCTGCCTGTTGGGCTCAGCCAAGCTCTACTGGAGGCAATTTTTTCACTCCTGCCCATTAAAAACCCAGTGGCACATAAGGGCCGGAAAAATTCCTCCCCACCCCAAGTCCTCTCCAGGTACATCAGAGGCTGCAACTACATGAAGATCTCCAACAGTGTGAGTGACCAGGAGTCACTACCGTCCAGCGCTTGTTTTGTGCAGAGAGCTCGTTACGGCTCAGTTTGGTTGCTGGTGAGCAGACATCGTATTAAATGAAAAAATAAAAAGGAGATGTACGTATAAGTCGGTGCTGTAACACAGCCAGGAGAGGTGTTTGCAGCTCTTACTCTACAGGGTCTATGGGGCATAGGAGAGCAAAACATTGTAAGATGGAGGGCACGGCTCTTTCCTACACCCTGAGCAGGTGACATCCTAGATATGCCCTCTGCTTCCCAGGCAAGTGCTACAATAGTCTTTCCTTCTCTGCTGAGATGAAGAAAAGAAGAATACAGTTCATACATTTGCAAGAGTCCCATCACCCTGGGCAGAACTCACACTAATAAGCCTGTGGGACACAGGGGGAGAAAATGCCCTGCTTAATCCTTGGCTTTCTGACTTTAGTGCATCCCAGTTTGTGTCTGACCTCTGTATCATGCGTGAGAGTGGAAGGATTAGCCAGATGGGACTGCTGGTGCACAGGGACTGCCCTCCACGGGCATCGCTCCTCCTGCCTGCCCCTCTCTTAGTCACCTTCTCACGATGTGTTCGCAGCTCCCAAGGCACTGGTGGAGGCAGCGAGGCTGTAGCAGTTTACACCCATCCCCTGATCTTGTATTTTTGGTTACACTCAGGATTTTGTTATGGGCAAAAAAGGGAACGCCTCTTATGTATGAAGCTGAGAACATGATAGTCAGATTAAAAGTTGTAACAGGGCAACCAAAATACAACGAATATTTATTACTACTCTAGTTACAATGATATGAATGCAATCTGAATTATCTGATTAATATGAGACACAGTGACAACCAGCTGAGGCCATGGCAAGTCCAGCACCATCCTGCGACTTGATGGTGTTGGGTCAGTTCAAAGCCTATGGCCTTCTGCTAGTGATGGCAAAAGCAATGTTTGCTGGGCTATATTTCCCTCTGAGAAACACTCTCAGCCTCAACTCCTGTTGGCTCACAGAACTTGGCTGGCCAAGTGACTACTCTTTCTCTCTGTTTTCAGGTGTCTGTCGTGCGTGGAGAGCCCTTACCGATGTCACTGGTGCAAGTACCGCCACGTCTGCACTCATGACCCCAGCTCCTGCTCCTTCCAGGAGGGACGAGTCAAGCTGCCCGAGGTAGGCAGGGGCACAGGGCACGCGTCACGTACGTGGGCTGCTTGGGGCTGATGCCGCCTTTTGGCCTGGGTCAGACTAACATGTCCAGGAAGTCTTCTCCACCTCCAGTCCCACTCTATCCCTCTTCTGCTGACCCTCCAGGAGACCCTCACCTTTCCCTCTGTAGATAGCTCCTCTCCTCTCTGCTCTACCAGACCCCCAGGGAGCTGCCCTCTCCCTCCTATACACTACAGGGACCGTGTTGCCTCGGAAAGTCATTGCAAGCTCCCGGCACCAAGGGACTAGGAGGAATGGGAAACACTGGGCATGCATCTCCTCTGGGAGAGCAGGAGGTTGCCTCTAAGCAGATATTCCTCAGGCTGAGATCTGGGGACGATTTAGGGCTATGTCCAGAGTGTCAGTGGATTTCAGCCATGCTTCGAGCACCTCTGTGGCTTTGTGTGTTCAGTGCCTAATGGCCAGTGCATCAAACTGCCTCCAGACAAGGCTGGAGAATGCCTCATCGCCAGTTGCTGAGCTGAACTGGACCCTGGGGCTTAATACAGAGCTGGCTGCTGTGCCGCAAATGCTGTCTAGCTCGTATTGTAACTAACAAGCACTTGCAGACAAGTGGAGCTCGGGAGAATACAAATAGGAAGCCACTTAATTACTTCCTGGTCAGGAATGGTCTGAAAGCATCCTGGCCTGTCTGGTAAATGACCTGAGATGGCTCATTGTTTGCCTGGCCCAAGGGACCAGTACCCATTAAGAGATCTGATATCTGCTGAACCACTGAGCGCAGAGGCAGCTGCTGAAGACTCCGGCAACGTGTGTCGCATTCAGAGGATGAAATCCCCACTGCTCCCTGTGCCGCCTGCTGGGTCTGCTGTCTCTAACATGTTCCCCCACCTACCCCCAGCCCCTGACCCAGGCAAGCCAGTTTGCTGGACCAGATGACACACGTGTAGTGTCTTCACACTCCTGTGGCATCACCCATTCCCTCCCACCCCTACCTTATGTGCTGGTGGAGATGTCACATATGTGCGGGTTGAGGTGTCCTGGAGCAGACATCCTGAACTGCTGTGGCATTGGGACAGGCCATAAATATTCACGAGCAGGGAGGCTGCCAGTTCTTCCTCTACCAGGATTCAGAATTTGCTGTAAATGTGCTGGAAAACTTGCTGATGAGCTGGAGGGCTTGACACCTTCTACTCGGTGGTGAAGTGGTGAAGGAAGGCAGCCCAGGATTCAGCCCTTCTGGTAGACTATCCCAGCCAGGCAGATCCTATTCCCTTGCATGGAGCCTTGGCAGAGTTTGGCCAGTCCTGCTGGCCACAGGTCTCTGTGCCTTCTTCTTCAGGAACTGGAGGGACCTCAGCCTCTTGCTCAGGCGGCATTCCCTTTGTCTCAGGTTCCTGCTGTGCAATGCCACAACCATTTATCTCCTCTGGCAGACTCCTCTGGTGTGTCTCGTGCACCATGCACAGGACTCACCTCCCCAGTTCCCACCTCTTCTCTCCTCCAGCCCTCTGCCCAAAGTGAAGTGCCTACAAATCTCAGTGCATCTCCTCCTCCCTCAACTCGTATCACATCCCAGGTGTTTCTGACACTTGCTCCCATCGGAAAGGAGATCATGAGAAGCTCTGTGTCATCCCAGTTCCTTAGGGAAGAGACTGGGGATCGCACAGCCCCTGGTCTTTATCCCCTCCAAGGTCTTGCTCTGCAGAACTGGGGAGCAGGCAGTGGACTCATTGGCCTCGGCAGATCAGCCTATTTTAGCGCACCTTTTCCATCGCTGCTTTATCACCTCTCACTAGTTTTGTTTCTGAAAGGTATCCTTTTCAGACTAGGAGACAGATCCAGTCTGGGGGGCTTTTTCAGTAGAGATTGCTCTTTCTCTCTTCTATCCCCCTTAACACAGGATTTCCTGCTGACCTTCAAATACTCCCTCTCTGATCTTGCAAAGCTGCTCTGTGCAATTTGCATGGCAGCAGGAAGAGGCACAAACTTGACCTTAGAAGACAACTGTTGATCTACAAGGCAATGATAGCATCATGCAACACATATATGTTACATTGGTCATTGCTAATAAGGGCTGCAGCCTTGTTGGCTTCTGCAGCAAAACAATCCCCAGGCACAACCCTCTTTCCCACAGGAGACAACATTTGGCAGTCGGCTGCTCAGCTCAGGAGCTGGTTTTGCTGTCTGCTGTGGAGAAGAAACACTTCTCAGCACTGGAATGACTGGACAATATCTGCAAGGATAATGGCCTTGCGAAACGCAAAACTTTCAGAGATAGCTTTCTGCCTGGCGATATGAGAAATGCCCTGTAGCTTCATGGTCCTTCTCATTGCCATCGGTGTGTTTGTGGCCCTCAAGGACACTAGGGCTGGGAAAGGATGGTGTCACAAGTGCCTTCTGACAGATTTACATTTGCTCTGTGGCCAGAAAGGTTTTGCCAAATGGCACTTTGAACAAATGCTGCGTATATCTCCCACACTTCTCTTGAGAAGCCATGTTCTCACTGACTCATCTCTCTCACTGAAATTTCCACTGTCTATTTTTTACTTTCACCTTCAATTCTTTCCCTTTCTGTCATGTACCCATGCCTATTTGTTGAGTGGGCTCTTGAACAATAGAAACCATTTGGTAACTTGAAGCTAAGCCTGGCTTCTTATTCCCCATCCAGACCTCCACCCAGTTGCCGATGACTCACAAGGCTGACAGGGCTGAGGTTGATTTCCAGACTTCCCAATGCCATCTTCAGTAGTGTTCAAAACGTACCATCACCCTGAGTGGGCCTATTTTTACTGGCTTTTCATCTCCATCTGCAATGCTCCTTTTGATCCTTTCCTCTACAAGCAGTTGGACCCTGGAGGATGAGGAGACGGAAGCGTTTGCTACCATCCAGGCATGAGTACCTTCTAAATAAGTAAGTCTTGAGGAGGTACTGATGCAAAACTGTACTACCAGCGTGGGATGGTTGGACCATCCCATTTGCAGTCCTTCCATGAATCTGCTGAGCAGATTAGTATGGCCAGCTTCCAGGATTGTATGGTCTGATTGCACCAAGAGACTCCTTGCCAAGCAAACAAATATTGGTGTTACTCTGTCATATGGACTGGTGCCAGAAACTCCTTCCCTCTGTAATCATCATTGCTGGCATGCCAAGCCTGCTCCCTTCCCCCTCACTATGGCCTTCACCTTCTTTTGCCAATACACCCACTTCCAGGTGATTTTTTTTTCTCTCTTTGCCTGTACAGCATCTTGCTGTAATGTGGGAAGAGGCTTCCCACTCTCCAGATGGCCTGGGCTGCAAATGGACCAATTGAGCTGGTACACAGCACCCCTGGACCAGCCTGGAGCACTTTGAAGGGAGGCTTGTGCCCTTGTGTACTTCTGACTCTTATCATTTCCTTAGCACATCTCACAAGTTTCTGGATACCCTTGGGCTCAACTTGCCTTTCTTTCAGGTCTTCTTCATGTTCTCTGACACTATCTTGGGTTTTTTACTTTGTTTTTTTTCCTTGTAGTATGAGTTGCTGATTAATGCAGAGTGCAGGATGAATTTGAGCCTGATCCAGTGGGTCAGCAGAAAGGCTTTGGCCATGACCCACGCTGTCCAGAAGGCAAAATATTTTTTCTATCTGTATAGCCTGTGATCTACCATCCAAGGGGAGCCTTTGAATTTCATGGTGGATAGCTGTGATCGGCCAGCCCCAGGGTGGGACAGGGCAGCTGTCCTACCACCACCTGGCAAAAAAACTAAACCAGAGATGGAGGAAGGACGGAAAAGGCACATCCCTCGCTATCAACAAGGAGCCATGACTTTCTTACCTGTCACTTGTCAGGTGCTCGGTGAATCAGCTCTGCCCATAACAGAGCTGAATCAACTAGACTGGGAACCCTGGGAAAGCCCATTTTTGCTCCTGGTGAAGAACTCCAGCGTGGTCATAAAGCAAGTGTATTTATGATTACGGCACTGAACTCAATCAAATAGGGTTGATGATGTCTCCAGATGATTTGTGGCAGAAATACTTCACCTTGGCTTATAATTTCCCCTTACAGCAAGTTTTCGAAAGCCAAGTCCACTAGCTTGAAATATACTGAGTGACTTCTTGCTTTATAAAGGGGAACTGAGATTATTGCTATTGAGGCCAGGAAGGGAAAGAACAAGAAAGAAAAGACATTTTAATACTGAAGTAGCTTGTTGTTGTTTTTCACAAAGAGAGCTAGTGGCAAAAGTGGAGAGAATTAGTCTCAAAGATAAAAGGGAGCAGGCCAAGTTTCTGGTTTTTTTTCTTGGCCATCCTGTCTCTGCTTTTGACATTTGTTGCTGACTGTAGCTAAAGTCATAGTGCAGGCTTAGCATCGCACCACAAACCATTGCACTGCAGACTAACGCACTGTGAAATCACCCCTTACTTACTTGACAAAATCACCAAGTAAGAGAGCTCTGTCATTTTCTTCTGTACATGGGCAAGACAGTCAACAAGTAGTGGAGGGAAACTGAGGCATGGAGGAGTAAAACAATTGATCTGAGGGTGTCCAGTGTCATAGAAGCTACAGAAACAGCACCTGCCTCTCCTGATGCGTATTACCCAATACACCTGATGGCATTGTCCATCTTGTCTTCGTACAGACCTGCTCTCATCCAGTGGGTAGTTTTCATGTCAGTGTTTCACAGACATATGTACAAGGATGAGTAAGCTGGGGTAGCCTACTTGAGTTGATGGAATAAAGGACTAAGTCTTCTTTTGTGCCTTATTCCCTGAGATGAACACTATCTTGTTCCAGGCCGTGCAAGGATTTTAGCTTTGTGTGGGGGAAAAGAGAGGGAAAAAAAATGGCAAAAGCTGAAAGCAAGCCTAGATAACAAATCTATTATCCGCCGGGCTTAAAAGATACATAATCATTTAATTACCTTGAAGGAGGTTTTCATCTTTCCCTGCTCAGCCGATTTGCGTGTGCGTGTGTTTTTCTTCCTCCCCCAAACAAGCTTTTTATTAAAAGGATTTTCA